TACATACTGAGCATGACGTCATATGGTATGGAATAGCCCTTTGGTCAGTTTGGATCAACTATTCTGGCTGTGCCCCCTCCCAGTTTCTTGTGCACCTGACAGAGCATGGAAAGCTGAAAAGTCCTTGACTAGCATAAGCAGTACTCAGCAACAACTAAAACATCAGTGTGTTACCAATATTCTTCTCCTACTAAATCCAAAATACAGCACTGTGCCTGCTACTAGGAAGAAAATTAACTCTATCCCAGCTGAAATGAGGACAAGCCTCTTGAGCCCTGGCTTGGATTGTGCATCAGAAGGTGCAGCTAACTCAAGTCACTTGATCTCTAGGGATGAATTGAGTCCAGCTTGCTTGCTTCCATTAAGTTTCTATTCTGATAGTTCACTACCAGTTCAGTTAACATCAGGTTAATTTTAGATGACTTTTTGCTAACTGATCTGTGATGTTTTGGAGAAGTTCTTCCTACTTCCATTGTATATGTCAAGGTAATAAAAATATATGGTCTGAATCCCCTTGAAACAATAGAAGAAACTTATACAAATTCTGAATATAGGTGTACATCTTTTCTAATCCAGTTTTTTTTGCTTCACGGCAAAATGAATGATTGCTATCAAAAAGGTCTACACACTTTTTGGATGAGATTCATCTTATTCGTTGAACAGTTTTGCCCATATAATCTCACTTTTTTGTTCCCTGAGCAGTGGAGTGCTTTGGATTTGTGTCTAGTAAATAATATACAAGCAATGATGCACCTTCCTTTTTGTTACCTTCATTTCAGTTTAAAAATGAATATGAACATTGCAAATCCACTATATGCTGCACCTTTCATGAAAGAAACTTCAGCATCTTTTAAGGTACCTGTGGTTTAGCAGGGTTCGCTGTGCCATGGGGTCTCACATGGGGTCTGTAGATCACTCCTGAGGAGCCCACCTCTCCTCTTGGCCCTTAAATCACTTGCTGCTTCTCCCCGCTTTGATCACCATTAGAAAGGAGATGAGCTGCTGCCCTGTAAGTAGGGGAGTGTATTGGTCCATGGAGTAGTGGCTGCATGGGGAGAAACCCTGGAGCCCTACTTGACAGTACTTAGGCCATTATCACCTACTGTAAGTGACACCTTTTCATGAATAGTAACTGATACCCACCTCTTAACTTCTTTGTAATTTGCTGGTGGTATTTAAATCCTTATATTTCTTCATATGTTAAATGCTGCCTCAATTATTAAAAGGAAGCATTGTTTCATCTGAGGATGAGTTGATGTGTGTTAATAAATGCCAGATATGCCTCATTCACAGCATACAGGGGATCTGAAAGATTGCAATGGCATTTTGAATTCAAGTTTTAGCATAATTACAGTTCATGCCCTTAGTGGTAGCATTACCTACAAAAAGGTAGGAGGAGGATCAAGTGACATTGCATTGTACATCTGTTTTGAAGCCAAAATGCGTTGTGAAGTTACTTTACACTCAGGCATAGAATAACCATGGCTGGTTGAGCCAAAACCATTTCTTAGAGACATCTTATAACTTTTTAATAGATCTTTAATTATTCATACCATGATTATCTGAAGATTCCCTTTTTTTCCAAAGCTTCATTAAGTAAGCTTTTCTTTCCATGTCTGAAAGAATCAAAGTTGGAGGCAAATTAAATTTCCCATGGTCTACTTGCTGTGATGGTCTGACAAACTTCTGACATTTTCTGATGAAGACTTCTGGTTCCCGGGCAGTCTCACTGGGTGCCACAGTGCAGAGTTGGCTGTCCCTTTGAAGTCCACACGTGTTTTCTCTGGATCTCCATTCAGAACATACTCTTTGGTGTGTCCGTTTGTGAGTGATGATTTAGTTTTGTCACCCTTTCATACAGCTTAATTATTTTAAAGGCACAGGTGTAGAAAGTACAAACAGTGCTTCCCTTCAGCATCTCCTACACAGAAATTATATATCATGGGCATTTTCAAGTGAGGAGAAAAAGAAACTTTCCAGACCGTAGACTGCTGTATGGTTAACTGTAAAGTGATTAGCCTAATTAGCAGATGTGGAAGTCCTTTTGATCTCTCTACCACCAAATTTCAGTTCTGGCTTGCTATCATAATAAAAGCCACGTAAGAAGCTAGATTATCGGCATACTAATATATCGTGACCATACTGATGAAGTTATATTTAGTTACAAGTGTAAAGATAGTGAAATTACGCTTATATGCCCTGTATGTTATTTACTTCTCCTTCCAGTTTGCCTCTATATCATTGCTACATGCAGGACCCAGATGTTTTAGGTGGCTACCAAATTTATGTACCTGGTGATCCTTGGGGGCATAAGATTCTGTAAATACTGCTGTAAATACATCAGAATCTCTTTTTTAAAATATTTAAAAAAATAATTACAACTATTTGTCTCCATCTGTGAGTTTGGTTCACATGGTCTAGATGGTGATGCCAGAAGTTTGTTCAGAAATGCTTAGCATGTCAAAGTAGCCTGGGATAGAAGCACATTCACAGCCAGCTGTTGCGAGTTGGATCATCCATATCTTTGGGTGGAAGGAACATGGGTTTTTAGCACCACCTTTAAAAATATGTTCTAGTTGAGAGAGGCATGTGGGCTTTTTTTAATTGTTTTTTGGTTTTAAATGGGTAAGGAAGGATGGAAGCCATCTGCAGCCATCTTCCTAGCATTTCATGCCCCAGCTACTTCCCATCAGGTTGCATGAGTGTGGGCCTGCGGCCCCCTTATTCAAATTGAGGCATTAAACTCCTTTTGAAATGAATACAGCAAATAAATACCTTTCATTACTGGAAGCTATCGTTTTGATCGCAAAAATATGCAGAGACCAGGAACACCTCCAAGTTCTGAATATCATGTTTTAGTGTATTTTATGTGGTAGGTGTTTATTTTTTTTTCTTTCTTCCACGTGCTTTGGGGCAGCTTTTAAGTCGCTGGTATCATTAAGCTGCAGCATCAGCTTGACATGTTTAAACTACGGCCTGATTAAACGTAAAATTGTATTTAGAAAGCGTTCTTCTGGACACATGTGCGCAGGGAGCCAGCCCGCTAATGGAACACCTTGGAGACATTGTGCAGGGCACGGCCACAGCTGTCTGGGGACTTTGGGAAAGAAACTCTGTAGATGCACTCTCAGGCTGTTCCCCATCCGTCTGGGTTCCTGCACGCTGTCCTGAATGGCTAACCTCAACATGTCAGAGCTGTAAACTCCGGAGAGCTAAATGCAGCAGATGTTGTAAAAATTCCTTCCCCTCCCGTCACTAGCATACGTTCTTTCCATTGCAGAGCTAACCGAGCCGATCGTTTCAGTGCAGATGGCCACAAACTCAATCCTACCTGGAGCCGGGAGAGTCTCTTTGGTGTCAACCCTGTGTTAATGAATCTGTTAAATTAGCCTGTGCTGACATGGTGCACTGAGAGCACTTTGTTGTACATAAGGGCTTGTATTGTTTGATCAGTACATAACTGAAAGGGCATTGATGTAAAAAGGTGCTTGTAGGGTGACGGGAGGGTATCGGGTTAGGTCAGTGTTTGCACTGCTCAGGCATCTGCTGGGAGCAGGGGGCCAGAGAGCTGCACTCAACCCCAGCTCCCTCCTTAAAGGGCTACGAGCTGCTCTCCAGGAGCCCTTTTTCACTGCTTTCTTTCCAATAATCAGAGGTAAATAGAAGAAACTGTTGCAGATTAAATACGTTCATCATCTCAGAAGGCATGTGAGTTATCCTAAATCTGTTCAAGTCCATTATTTTTGAGTTCTCATCCTGTTGAAAGTATATAGCAGCTCCAGAGAAAATGTACAAAAGAAGTGAAAATAATTGCTCCCTGCTCTCAGTGAAGTTGCCCTCTGCCTGTTCATATTCCCATCTTACAGTCAGTATAACCCTGGAAACAAATTTTAAGTTTTTTTTTCCTTCTCTATTGCTGTTGCTTTGTTCATATGAGAAACTTATCTTACACAAAAATGCTCTTGTAACTTACTTGATTTTAAAAAAAAATGTTTAGCAACAGGATGGTGATATTAGTATCTTACACTTTTTTTGCAGTGAGGTATTAGATCAGAAAAAAGTGATGCATTACTGAAAGAATGGCATCTCTATTGGTATTGCAAAATGGGCAATCTGGTGAGGGAGATGAACTTGAACCACAAAGTTCTCCTGAAACCTAAATTCTGGAAGGTTGAGTGTTGGTGGGACCTAGGAAGCACCTCATTAAAGTAAACAAGTTCATTAAAGAAATTAGCATGCCGAATATGTTTTCAAATGAATACAATGGCATATGCCTGGGATTTATGAGTTACAAACTGAGAAGTTTTTTTTGACTTAGAAATGGACAGTTTCATCTTGTCTGTTAACCTTGGTGCATTAGCCAGACAAATGCTATAAAAGCATCATTATTTTGTGTTTGCAAATGGTAGAGGAGGCTCTGTATTGGGAGAAAATGATCGTATTTTAACTAACTTCTGTAGGGGTAAAAAAAAAAAAAAAAAAACCAAACCAACAAACCAGCAAAACCAAACCCCAACAACTGGGATGGGTTACCTGTAGCAAACTTGTTGGATAAGGACAGCGATTGAATTTTTGTCTCACAAGAAACTGGTGTTGTTGGCTCGTAATGGAGTCAAGTCTACTTGAACGTTTGTGGCCTCGATACAAACGCATGCTGAAAGAGAGCTGATTGTATCACTGAGTCAAGTATCTCTTTGCAATAGATGGAAATAGTTGGGAACATAGGGAACATCCTTCTTCTTCTTTTCCCTAGCAGCCACTTCAGCACTGTATTTAATGTAGGTCTAAAATAGGATTTCTGAAATGCAGTGAAGAGAATTAGTATTTATTGTGGTCAGGTGTTTCTGGGAGATAGTTCACTGGGAATAGGTCTAGTCAATGCTTGACACTTTCTTAGAGCCTGTAGGAGGAAAGAGGGATGGAGCGGCATAAGTTTGTGAATGGTGTAATAATGGCACAGAGCTATCGCAGGTTAAGCCTATTAACAGCTTTTGCAAGAGCCAACCCAGGGGCATTTGCTGACAAAATCTCTTTTTTTTCTAACCAGAGGACCCTTCTTGGTGGCTTTGGGGAAGTCGTGGCATCCAGAGGAATTTAATTGTGCTCATTGCAAAACCTCCATGGCTTACATTGGATTTGTGGAAGAGAAAGGGGCGCTGTATTGCGAGGTCTGCTATGAGAAATTCTTTGCCCCTGAGTGTTCGAAGTGCCAAAGGAAGATTCTTGGAGTAAGTGACCAGCAAGTGGCCTGTTTTTCAGTGGGAACAGTAACCACAGTGTTCAGTGCTTCTCTGTAATGAAATTCCCTTTTATCTGGCCCAGCCTGCATTTCTGCAAACACACTCTGACATATCTATTCAGCTCCCATCACATACAGAATATGGTTTTGGCTCTTCTAATGTTGAGCCTTTTCAGACTCTTTGAGAAAAGGTGCTATAGTCTCCTTGGCTCTTCAAGTTCAGCTCCTGCTTTCATGAAGCTGTTCTGTAGCTGTTGTGATTACTAAATTTTCTTGAGCAAAATGCTTTTAATTGGCAGCTTCTACAAAATTGGAGGGGGGGGGCGGGGAGGGAGAAAAATAAACAGTCCTCCTTAACTAAGCTGAGTGCTGCGGAACATACTGGTTGGCTAGATGTGAAGTACTGAAATATTCCCAACGGTAATGTAGCTAGAAAGACACATTATCCTACTCTGCACTAATATTGCTAATTTGAGCCTGCCAGCTGATTGTCCGCCGCTTTACTGCAGACAGCAATGTGTCTGGACTCTTGTGTAACCGGGGTCATGCAGGGCTCTGGCAGCGCAATTCTCAAGTCATATTTGGCACTATAGCATCTTCCAAAACAACACAGAGCAGTCATAATTTTCTATGTGATGTCTTCTGATTAACTATTCACAGACTGGAGGAGACATTGGAGATGCTGTTTTTCTTATTTCAGGGGACTGTTGTGAGATCCTAATTAAAATGGAAGAGGTGAACAAATGAGTTGCTAAATCTGAGCCCAATTCTACATTGAACCTTCCAAAAAATGAAAGGTTGCTTATGACAAATAAGGAGATGTACCATAAATAAAGCACCTCATTAAGTTTAACATCAGCAGAAATTGCGTGCACAACCAATTTTCGAAGTAGCATTAGGAAACAAAATATTCTTGAAACGAATCGAGTGTGGAGGCATGGTCACCACAATCTAGTCATCGCATCAAAATAATGTGTTAATAACGCTCTTC